TTGAATATCTATTTGTTACATGAGTTGAACTATAATTATAATTTGTAAATAGCTAACAATTTATTACACCTAAGACTTCTTATTTTGATCTTTTGCTTTTTTAACAGTAACTAAATTAAAGTAAAGATTATAAATTTGATGGACAACAATTAGTTGAAATTCTTTACAACTTTTTTTATCTTTAAACAAACAGAGTTGTGTTCAATCGAAGACATATTGGTTTGATGAACACTAAATATGGAAGAATATAAAAAAAATTCTTTCATGCTTCTGTTTTGTTTTTTATTTTTATTTTCAAAATTTAGTGTTTTGATATTAATTCTAGATTTGATCATTTTATTAGATGATAGAAGCTTTTTTTGTTTTTTATTCTTTTATTTAAATATACAATATTTTTTAATAAATGACTCTGTGACAATATGACTCTAAATATGATCATATTATATATTTGTATAATATATAATATGATCTCAAACTAAATAATTATGTTTTTTGGTATAAAATTGAATAAACTGAAAACCGATGGTATATAAACCAAATCAAACTGAAGTACAAATAGATTTAGAATAGTAGTTATATTTTAATGATCGAAATACCAAAAAATCAAGCCAAACCGAAACCCGATATCCGGATTGAACACCTCTAATCCGAATGAAACCGAACTATTGTTTCATTTTTAAAAACATAACAAAAATAATAGCTTCATCCCGCGCAAGGCGCGGATCTTATCCTAGTGTAATCGTAAGTGATGTGCATAGTGGGGACCAGCAAATCCATCCAAAATGGAAGAACACAAAAGAAGATGATTATTATAACATTATGCAGAGAGAGTTGCATTAAGCTATTATTATTGTAACAATTATTTTATTTTTGAAATAAAATAAATAACCACTAACCTTCGATAAACTCACCCATCACAGAAACTCGTTGGAAAAAAAAAATATTTTTGGGGAAACAAAGGCGAAAACTTTCTTGGTCTGAAAAGATCGAGAAAAGATTTCAAAATCAAATTTGGTTTCTGAAGCGATCCAAATAATTTGTAGATAAAAATCGATTTTGTGTTGTTGGGTGTTTTGTAATGACGCAACAAGGGCAGGGAAGCATGGACCCTGCCGTTCTTGATGACATCATTCAACGTTTGTTGGATTACAGAAACCCTAAGCCTGGAACCAAACAGGTTATGCTCAACGAGTCTGAGATCCGACAGCTTTGTATGGTCTCCAGAGAGATTTTTCTTCAACAGCCTAACCTCCTTGAGCTCGAAGCTCCCATCAAGATCTGCGGTAATCAATTAATCTCTTCTAATGTTTGTTTCGGGATCTGATGTCTGCATGATTGTCTTTATAGCTCGTGTTCTTAGATCAGCTCCCAAAGAAAAAGGGTTTTTGGTTTTAGATAAAAGATGTGTTTGGTCTAAGTTATGGATAATGAATAAGAACAAAGGTTTTGGTGGATTTTGTCTGTTAGAAGTTAAATGAGCTTAACCTTGTGTGTTACATATGTTTAGCTGAATATTTTGATGCAACCTAGGATGGTTTATTTTAAAGCTGGTGGTCTAATGGTTTCCACTGGGTGAAGAGTTGCCTTGTTGGTCTAGGTCAGGGATCGATTCTCCTCTAGTGCGAAATTGCTAGTTCCATGAGTGGCAAGGCGGTGTGGGTCTCTATCTCCCACGTAGAGCAACCGGGCTTGTCTGTCACCCGTGACCCGGCCCCAAGAGCATGGTTAGTCGGGCTTTGGTCTGAACACCCGACTAATCATGCTCTTTTTTTTTTTGATTAACCGGGGTATCCCAGGCCTATAGAAGGGTCCAGTGGCCATCTGTGGAGCTAATAATTTCGCAGTGGAGGAGAATCGATCCCTGGCCTGTACCAACATGGCAACTCCTTATCCAGTGGAAACCACTAGACAACTACGATGTGTGGTTAGGATTAGGTTGTTTGTTTGGTTGACTACTCTTCTTGGAGTTTCTATATATGTGAACTCATATGTTGATGTATCTCATTTGTAATGGTTTTGTCAGGTGATATTCATGGACAGTACTCAGATCTATTGAGGCTATTTGAATATGGAGGCTTACCTCCTGCAGCTAACTATCTATTCTTAGGAGATTACGTGGACCGTGGGAAGCAGAGTCTTGAAACAATCTGTCTTCTTCTTGCCTACAAAATCAAATACCCTGAGAACTTCTTCCTTCTAAGAGGCAACCATGAATGTGCCTCCATCAACAGAATCTACGGATTCTACGATGAATGTAAACGTAGATTCAGTGTGAGACTCTGGAAAGTGTTTACAGATTCTTTTAACTGCCTTCCAGTGGCTGCTGTAATAGACGATAAGATATTATGTATGCACGGTGGCCTTTCTCCGGATTTGACCAACGTGGAACAGATTAAGAACATTAAGCGACCTACCGATGTTCCGGACTCTGGTTTGCTATGTGATTTGCTATGGTCTGATCCAAGTAAAGATGTTAAAGGCTGGGGGATGAATGACCGTGGTGTCTCTTACACGTTTGGGCCTGATAAAGTTGCTGAGTTTTTGATAAAGAATGATATGGATCTTATCTGTCGTGCCCACCAGGTTGGTTTTACTACAACTATGTTCATGTTTCTCTTGTCCACTATAAGAGTTTGTGATGAAGAAAGGTGTTTTTTTTTTTGCTGCAGGTTGTAGAGGATGGTTATGAGTTCTTTGCAGATAGACAGCTTGTTACTATATTTTCAGCTCCTAATTACTGTGGTGAATTCGATAATGCTGGTGCTATGATGAGTGTGGATGAGAGTTTAATGTGCTCTTTTCAAATTCTTAAGCCTGCGGATCGGAGGCCCCGGTTCTTATGAGGTAGTGTTCAAATATCTTTTGAAACTGTTTTACATCTTGATTCATTCACTTACAGAAGGATTCTTTCATGTTGCATTTTGCAGTTAGAACCTCGCTGGAAAAAAAGACCAAATTTGGCGACATGAAGGCGGGAGAGAGCTTCCAAAACCACATTGTTACATGTTATATCATATAATCATCTTATTTGAACTCTTGTAATTTATTTTCTCAGAACTTGATTTTCTTATTATTATCTTCTCATTCTCTGACTCATATTAGACTGAACAAAAGTCTGCAAAGTTTTATTCTTTCATCAACCCAAAACCTCAGTGGTATACGCACTATATTCCTTAAAACATACACTCCTGGAAGTTTTTGTCATGACTTGGAGGTTCTCTGATTCTTTTAGAGAGTAAATTCTTGTCTACGTGAATCAAACATTATCTACAAGGTCCTTACATTTTTCGTAATCTCGAAGTTTACTAATATTTATTATTAGATTTTTGGATTTTTAATTTTAACAGTTACAAATTTTACCTAAAATAAAATGTATTTTGATTAAAAATTTATTATATACATAATTTTAGTTTTAATAGAATATACAGTAATTTATATAAATTTATAATTGTATTAATGAAAGTATTAATAATTCTGTTATAAACACACATATATTTCATATTGTATATATAAATAAAATTATGTAATATTTAAAAATAAATTTAAAAATAAAAAATTAATATCCAAATAAATATATGAATAGTTTTTTTTTTAATTTGATGTGTTACTATATATATTCTCTTTTTTTCCTCAAAATCATATACTTTTCGAGAGAGTTTTCCTTATTATTATTTTTTTTCAATGTTTTACTTTTAAATTAGAGTGATTTAGTGAACTACCCATATTTGAAGCTCAAATTAGCAAAATATCATTGATTGGACATGAAGGACACTGACACAATCATTTTGCAAGGAAATGTCGAGAATGCCCTTTCTCTTTCCTCTCATTAACACGGAGCATAAAGACATTTGTTAACATATAACACTTCTGTTAACGTCTACAATATTTGTTAACAGCAAACACATTTATTACCGCGAAGCGTAAAAATAAGTATCAACAGTTAACACTTCTGTTAACGTCTACAATATTTGTTAACAGCGAAGACATTTATTAACGCGAAGCGTAAAAATAATTGTTAACAACTAACACTTCTGTTAACGTCTACAATATTTGTTAACCGCTAATACGACGTCGAATCTAAAACCCAGAAAATTGATATCATCAAAAAATTGAGGATTGAAAGCCACTTATGAAAAAAATAATGAAATTTAAAATTTAATTGTATATAAAATGATAGAGATTTGTAAAATAATTAGGGATTGGAGAGAAAAAAAAAGGTCAAAATTGAGGATTCAAAGCCACTTATGAAAAAATAATGAAACTTAAAATTTAATTGTATATAGAATGATAAAGATTTGTAAAATAATTAGGGATTGAAGAGAAAAAAGAGAGAGGAGAGATGTCAAAGGGAAGAGAGAGAGTGTAGAGAAGGACAAAATGATCTAAAGGAAAGTGATTATCACATTATGGGTAATCCTCTAATTATAGGTGTCAAATAGGACATTTAGCCAATTATCTCTTTAAATGAACCACTCAGGATGTTGAAATCAATTGCTCGCTCACTAAAGACATTAACCTAGCCTCAAAGAGACTCAGAGCGAGAGTGAGAGAGAGAACAAAAAAAAGGCGACAAAGATGTTCTTCCACATAGTTCTGGAGCGAAACATGCAATTACACCCACGCTTCTTTGGTCGAAACCTCCGTGAAAATCTCGTCTCTAAGCTCATGAAAGATGTCGAAGGCACTTGCAGGTTCAAATCAAAAACCTTTTCCCTTAATCATCCATCTTGAGATTCAATTGCATCTCCAAAACCCTAATTCCTGTCTTGTTCAATTGGTTTTGTTTTGGGGATTACTGATTGAATGCTGAATCAGTTCTAAAAATCGTTACTTTAGGTCGAATCCGGTTCAATTGCATCTTTTATATCCAAACCCTAAAAGCTCTGTTCTAGTTCAATTGGAGTAAAGATGGGTTACTTTAGCTTAATTGGGGTCTTGGGCATTGTGGTTATAGTAGTTAGAATTGAACTATGCTGCTTGGTTGTTTAAAAGTAAGTTTCTTTCTTCATTAAGAACAGAGAAACTTAGTGGAATTTGTGTAAAGGATTAGTTTTTTTTTGGAGATGTCAAGTTAGTTTTATATTTGTATTTAGAAATATTTGTTATTGAAGCATCTAGCTTTTGGATTTAAGATGTGAATTTTATCATTGCAATGCTATGTTGATATTAATTGCAACTTCTTTTTGGCCTTTTCTTTGTGTTGGTTTGGTGGTGACAGTGGTCGACATGGGTTTGTAGTGGCGATAACAGGAATAGAGAGTGTAGGGAAAGGGTTGATCCGAGACGGGACTGCGTTCGTCACTTTCCCTGTTAAATATCAGTGTGTTGTTTTCAGACCTTTCAAGGGAGAGATTTTGGAAGCTGTTGTTACTTTGGTCAATAAGGTATTGTATTATATAGTTTCATTGTCTTTAGTGACAAATAAGTAATGGAAACTTCCTGATGAATCTCAGATGGGTTTCTTCGCTGAAGCTGGACCTGTTCAGATCTTTGTTTCCAAGCATGTAAGCTTATGATCTTTAACCTTATGGTTTTTGGTTTTATGTGTTTGATGTTTACGCTTTGTAACTCCTCTTTGTCAATCATTACAGTTGATTCCAGATGATATGGAGTTTCAGGCTGGAGACATGCCTAATTACACGACATCAGATGGATCAGTTTGTTTCTTCTCCATGTTTCTTATTTCACCTGTGTTTCATCTATCTTTCAAGTAAGCTAATCTTTCCATTGCTTAATGCAGGTTAAGATCCAGAAAGAATGTGAAGTGAGACTAAAGATTATTGGAACTAGAGTCGATGCCACTGAAATCGTATGCAACACTATCCACAATGCAACTTATATTTTCTTTTCTTGGCTTGAGTCTTTATAAATGTGTGTTTTGATTTTACAGTTTTGTGTTGGTACCATCAAAGACGATTTTTTGGGAGTCATCAACGACCCTGCAGCCGCTGCATAAGCAGAAGGATCAGAGGCCAACTTCGATTTTGGTCCGGTCAAGAAGATGGTGTGATAAAAGTTGTATTATAGACCCTTTTGCAAGTTGAAGTTTATGGATATGTTTATTTGGAATAGTGTTTCATATTCGAGTTTAGTGGACTTTGTTCCTCTATTCTCTAAGAATGTATCCTCTTACATTATAAACGTCTTATTTTGTAAGAAATAAACTTAATCGCAGTAAAATGATCTGTTTGAACATAACATAAAACTTCAATTTTTTTCTTCTTGTATCTTTAATTGTCATGAACACTATGTAGTGTACATCTTACACTGGACGGTTCCTTTCTCAAAAAAAAAAAGGAAGGAAACAGAGTTATTGATACATATCCAACAACGCACATATCAGCTAATGCATAACGTCATATATATTACCTGAAACACCAGATTAACCGACTTAACAGTTTATTATCGTAACTAACTTATAAATATAACTGTTTTTTTTTTTCATTTTTTTCAGTCTTCTTCCTCCAGAGAAGAGTTTCAGAGTCGACGATCTCGAAATGGATGCGAGTGAGACTAGCAAGGTCTACATCAGTGTCAGCGATCATGTCATCAGCAAGACTCGCTCCGAGCTCGTCTCCAATGGAGAACTCAAGCTCAGTGTTCTTAACGAGATTCACGCGGTTAGTTGAGAAAAGCTACTCCATTGTTTCACTTTCTCCTCTTACGTCAAATGATCGATCGCTGATTCGAACAGGATTTAGTCTTTCTTGAACTGCAAGTTAGGGTTTAGGATGATTTAGGAAAACGAAGATGATAGGATACCTTATTCTCGATCGCCGTTTCAGCTCTTGAGAGATCCGAATCCAGTTTTACATCGATCTTGATCACATTTAAGTTGTTTTTAGGTTTCTTGTCTTGCAAGTTAGGGTGTTTTTGGAAAATGAAGATGATACGATATCTTGTGCTGGATCGTCGCTTCAGCTCTTGTTTCTCTATAAACGATTACGTTTTTCAATCGATTTTGTGATGTTTTTAGTTTTCTTGAGCTGCAAGTTAGCAGGAATTTTGGAAAACGAAAGTGTGATTATGAACTCTTCTTTATAGACTTGGAAAAGGAAGATGATACAAGCAGGAGTCATAAGCGAAACGATAGAAACATCAGGATCCAAACCAGTGACTGCCCATGCTCCTCCTCTCCAATCTCAGAATCCAAACCCTCTACCTGGATATGCTGAAAGTGGAATTGACTCTGACGCTAAGGTTCCTTTCTATCTTTAGAGTCTTCTCGTTAGCTCAGTTTTTTGTGTTTCTGATGTTGAAAATGTTCTCAGGAGCTTGAGATGTTCATTGAAGCTCACTTTCCATCCACGGTAACCTTCTTTTTTTAGCGATAGAGAGTCTTTCTTGTTAAGACGGCTCAGTTTTTGTTGTTGAAAACGTTTTTTTCAGGAGCGTGAGATGTTCATAGAGAACGAGCATGAAGGATTCTACATTCCTCAGAAAGATGGATCTGCTGATGGATATGGAGATGATCATGCTGACATAAAGCCAAACATTTATGCTCTTCCTCCTACTAGTATGTTTCTGATTTATTATGCATATGCTGCTCTCTTGATATCTTCATGGTTTCAAGGGATGTTGTGATGATGTAGATGAAGATGATGAGGAATTGAACGAGGATGATGATCTTGAGGATGAGGAAGGTGGTGGTCTCGATGATGATGACATTCAGGGTTTGATCGTCTGTCAGTTTGATTATGTAAGTTTTGTTCATTGCTGCATATTCCTATCTAACAATGATGGATTCTCTTACAAAATCAACTTTTGTGCAGGTGAAGAAGAAGAAGCAGCGTAAGAGCAACTATTGGGAGTGCAAACTCAAAGCTGGAGTCATGCACATCAACGGCAAACAAATTCTTTTCTCTGAGGTTTTTGGACTTTAAACAAAACATAGTCACATGTCAGCTTTTATACAAAAGTCTTTATTAATATCATCATTAATCTCATTTTCTGCAGGCTAAAGGAAATGTTGACTTCTAAGAGAAAGCCTTTATATGAAACTCTCTCCCTATCTCTCTAAATGTACATAATGCACTCTTTTGGCCCTTCTTTTTTTGAAGTTTCTTTCTAATATTGTAAATAACCCCGAAGATGAGCTTGAACCAGAGAAATTAAGATGTGATGATTTCGTTTCAAAAATTTCTCTGAGATGAACATTTATGGTTGTAGTTATACTCTTTGTAACATAACTATGTTATATACTCTATGCAACACATCACAATACAACCAATTATATGAAAAGTAAAACAACATAGTAGCAAAAAAAACACTTTCAAATACATTCCCCATTCATTTAAAAACAACATTGTAGCAAAATACAGAACCTTACTTGTAAGTGTAGCAGCTTGTGATGCAGGCTTCAACGCCCACCAAATAAGACTGTAATATCTTCAAACGAGTAATTAGCTGATGTAGAAGTGGTTGTCATTTGCGTTACCGTTTCATTGCTTATATTAGGCATACCAAAACCAGCTGTATCAAATGATATTCTCGGAACAGGAACACTTCCTTCCAGATATTGTACTATATGTCTCATACTAGGTCTATTCTCAGGGTTGCTCTGAGAACAAAGCATGCCTAGCCTCAAAAGCATCTTGACCTCTTCAGCTTTAAAGTTTCCTTCTAGTTTGCTGTCAACAGTAACCATGAAATTATCTCTGCTTCCACAAGTAGCAACCCACTTGAGCAAAATAATTTGCTCAAGTGGTCTCTCAGGGTCTACTGGCCTCCTCCCACAGACCACTTCAAGAATGAAAGATCCAAAAGCATATACATCTGTGCAAGAAGTGGTCACTCCCATTGCAGTTAGCTCTGGTGCCATGTAGCCAATGGTTCCAACCACACGTGTCGCTTCTAGATTCTGTCCATGATCATGGAATCTTGCAAAGCCAAAATCTCCTAACCTTCCATTTAGACTGGCATCTAAAAGAATGTTACTAGCTTTGATATCTCTATGTAGCACAACTTGTTCCCACTCTTCATGAAGATACAGAAGTGCAGATGCAACTCCCTTGATTATATTCAGCCTCTGAGACCAAGTGAGGTGTTTCACCTTGTCTTTACTGAACAAGTAGTCATCAAGGCTTCCGTTTGGCATGTATTCATAGACCAAAAGCAATTCACCTTTGCGTCTGCAGTAGCCAAGGAGCTGAACCAAGTTCTTGTGCCTTAGCCTTCCCATGCTAGCGATCTCCGCGACATACTGTTTCATTCCTTGTTCTGCATTATGGTAGACTCTCTTAACCGCTATTTGTGTACCAGAGGGAAGTAATCCCTTGTAAACTTTTCCAAAACCTCCTGCTCCAAGTAGTTGACTCTCCCTGAAACCCTTTGTTGCTATGTAGAGGTTCTTAAAGGAGTATCTTTGAGGACTATATTCCTTTTCCCACTGTTCAAGCACCTCTGCATACTTCTTTTTCTTGTAAAGAAGATATATAACTCCTCCCAATATTATTAAGATAAAAACTGTTGGTATAGTAGTAACTAGAATTAAAGTAGGTTTAGACCCTGACTTTTGATCAGGGGCATCCATAATCTTTGAAATGTCAAGGCTTTGTGCTTTTCCACCTTTCTTGAAACTCCATGCAAGGATGTATTGGTTACTTCTGGTTGAGCCTGTGGATCCAGAGAAGCCTACAAACATAGTCTCATTGAAAATCTCTGAACGATTGATGGATTTTGACAAGAGAGGCACACTTGGTTTGATGGAGGTTGACAAGAAAGGTGAAACTGGCGTTGACTTTGGTACCGGAGCTAACGTTACATTTAGTACTTTCTCTACTCCATCATAGTCTATCCAGACTAGAATACGTTTTCCACTAGCAAGCAGCAGGGGTTTCATCTTTCCCTCGGAATAGTAACTAGCTTCAGCATGGTGGACCGAGACTATGCTATTAATATCAATCCCTACATGGTTTCCGCTTTCGTCAAGTGGTTCAGAGCTTTTATTTGTGTCAAACTCTACAGCTAGAATCTGCTTTTCAGTTTTGTTTTTATTATCTAAACTAAAAAGCCCTAAACCTGAAGTTGCAGTGCCATTGGCCATGAGATCTATCTTAGAAGCTACCACAAAAGCCATACCTTGACCGTAGGAAGGAGGCTTTTGCAGTGGAAAGATTGCAAAGACAAACTCTGTTGAAAAGGAATATGAACTGGGAGACGACGTTGAGAAGTTCATGGGAACTTTGAACATAGCATGACCAGTGCTGGTCTCAGTATCATTTGTAAGATGCAATCGACCATCGTTGATATTTGCCATTCCATCAAGATAAAGGTTTGCTCCCCTGAAGTCATAGAGCACAAATGGATCCTTTTCTTGAGCTAGCACCAGAAGCATCACATGGACACTAAGCATCATCCAGATACTATGTGATCCTACAACTCCAGCCATCTTGAACAGAGATGATTTTCTCTCACACCTTAGTTTGTGTATCTCAGTTTGTAATTCATGGACACTAATTTTCTATGAGAATTGTGTTTTTTTATTTGGGTAAGTGCAGCAAACTCAGAGTTGACCTTTACATGGAAGACGCTATCAAAGAAAAGCTAAGAAATGTTTTTGAATTAGTAAATATACCACACTGCCTATGTCATCATTTAGACGGTTCTTACAGTTGTGTGGGTTAACTACTTTAGTTGTCTTATCCTCATGACAAGTTATGCTTTTATTACTCTGCATATTTGTTTGTGGACTTCTAGCTAATGTATTATACATCAGACAGAAGGTTTTAGGCTTTCAGCTGTGATCTGATTCTTATTTTACCTGTATCAGTTACCATGTATATGGCAAGTGAAGTGAGTATATCTGCACAGTTGTGTTTCATATATATGATAAGCCTGGTTAAATGAGAGGTTTCAACTCATCAGGGTCATATATGTTCAGTTTGGATAGTCTATGTGTAACATGGTTATCCTACATACTTGCACATATCTCTTCTCCTCTGCATTAGGTTAATGGGTTGAATAAGTTCATACAAAACATATTCTCGTTCAATAAATGCTAGTGGTATGTTTTTTTTTTTTTGAAACACACTTATATTAATTCAATCAAGCCAGGGTAGGTGCAGCCATTAAGGCTAGTTCAGCAGACAAAACCTGCTTTGCTAACAAATCTGCTTCTACATTTCTCACTCGTGAGATCCAAATAAAAGAAATACATTCAAAAGATGAAACTAAGTGCTGGATATCCGCCAAGATCCCATAGAGACCA